AAAGACCAAACCAAACCAATAAAATTCGGGTTTTTCACTCTCGGGTTTTCTCGAGTTTTCGGGCTATTCGGGTCTTTTTCCGATAAAATCTTCGTAGAACAAAACATATAACTTGTGCTCAAAATATTTCTTTAATCCTAGTAAGATACAACTATATAAAGTATTTTTCAAGAAAACAATATAAAATATGAGATGTGTCATGGCATTATCCTAAAATATTCAACAATAAAGACAATAAAATTATGTAATATAAATATTGCTAATTAAAAAACCATAATAAAAATAAACATAATATTAAAGTACTAAGTCATGCTAAAGTAAGTAGACTAATAAGGGAGTATTAATTACATGACTAAACGTTAAAGAAAAGATAAAAATAGGTTATGCATTTAAATCTAAATTATTGTAAACAAAAAATAGGTATTCAATACATTCTCATTCGTAGTATTGACTATTGAATTGAATGTCAGCATTCGTATTGATTTGATTTTGGTTTGGGCTTTTGTTAGCATTATTTAATTTACTAATATTAATGGCTATAAAATTTATTGGAATAGTCAAAAGTTCTAAGTCCAATATTAAAATAATACCTTAAAAGATAAAATTATGAAAAATTTTAAGATATATTTATAAATTACATCATAATAAATATATTTATATATTAAATATATCAAAATTTTCTATATATATAATGTCGGGTTGGTTTGGTTTCGGTATGACTTTCTTTAGTTAAAACCAAACCAAACCAATTATGGTCGGGGGTTTTTTTGCCAACACCAAACCAAATCAAACCAAATCATAGTCGGATTTTTTTTCTCGATTTAACTCGGATTATCGAATTGGTGCGGTTTGTCGGTTTCCATTGTACACCCCTATACAAAACTAATGTCCTTTCTAATAACACGAAACAATTACAAGGTTAATTATCTTGTAATTGTTCACGTGGTTCACCCTTATTAATTTTTGTTCTCCTATGGTTTAATAAAAGGCGAGGATTAAGCGCGTAACACCTGTGGTAAGATGAAAAAGATATAGTCACAGGCTCACATCGATTTATAAAATATCTTTTCAAATAAATGTTTTTCATTTTTCATTAAACCGCCTTGGGAAAGTGAAGAGAGTTGGTTACACTTACGAATTATGAATAATCGAGTCATAAGATATTTATGTTATGAATTACATTATTAACATTGAGTATGAAATAATAAATTACTAACACATTTTATTGTGTGTGATGAACCAACCAAGAATTGACACGTCGACTATTTCGTGTCATAAGCGCTTTGATTGGCTTACGTGACAAATTTTGGTACATATACATATCATTGCTTGTATATATTTTTCTCTTTCGCATATGCCTCACTCTTGTATCAATCAAAATGGGATTGTAATAATCAAGGATAACAGTATACTTTGCATATACCAACCAATAAAAAATCCCACGTCGGCACTATTTTGTGTCATATGCGTCATAATTATTGGCTTTATTAATGACAACAATTGCAAAGCATATACGAGTTTTTGACAAAAACATCTCTAAAGTATATATACAACTTAAGTTATATCCTTAAAGTATCCCATAAACAACAAACATAATTAATATTTTTAGAAGTGAACAACTCTCATACATTAGTTTAGTCCACCACTCTCACAAAATCAACGTCATTTTAAAAATCAGAAAACTTGCACATGAAAATTCAAAATTAAACGTCCCTCCAAATATCATTATTCTTTATATTTTGGTGGTGAACGGGAGAATGAAGCTTGATAACTTCTAAAAACCGTTACGAATGATTTTCCCTCTAGAGATACTTCACTACTCTAAGTTATGTGTACATTCAAAAAGGATGTTTTCGGACAAGAACTCAAAGATCAATACTTGTAAATTTTTGTTTCCCATTTACATTCTAGTTGAGTCATTTCAATAAAGAAGTATTACTCATCACCCGGTGTTTATATCAAACGAAGCACGCAAGCCGAATCAGGTGGAATTTTGGAAATACGCAAGTTGGGCAGGCTTGGAGTGGCTTACTGAATTATTTAATGTCATTTTTAGGACGAAGAAGATGTCGGAAGAATGGAGGTAGAGTTCAATGGCCCCGTTGTGCAAGAACAAGGGTGATGTCCAGAATTGCACCAAATATAGGGGTATCAAGTTGCTGAGTCACGCCATGAAAATTTGGGAGAGGATAGTGGAGAGGAGGGTGAGAAGGAGTGTGTCTATTTCGGAGAATCAGTTCAGATTCATGCCGGGGCGGTCGACTACAAAAGCCATCGATCTTGTAAGGAGGTTGATGGAGCAGCATTAGGACAAGAAGAAGGACTTGCATATTGTGTTCATTGACCTAGAAAAAACCTGGGACGAAGTCCCTAGGAAGGTTCTATGGAGATGGTTGGAGGTTAACGGCATTTCGGTAGCGTACATTAGGTTGATTAAGGGCATGTAGATGGAGCTAAGACTCGGGTGAGGACCGTGGGAGGAGACTCGGATTATTTTCCAGTGGTGATGAGTTTGCATCAGGGATCAGCATTTAGCCCATTTTTATTTGCCTTATCAATGGATGTACTGACGCGATACATTCAAGGGGAGGTGTCTTGGTATATGTTATTTTCAAATGATATAGTGTCGATTGACGAGACGCATTGCCGGGTTAATGGTAGGATGGAGGTGTGGCGGCAGACCTTGGGTATAAAGGTTTCAAGTAGTGTTGGGACGCATGAAGAAGAAGTGAACATGAAGCTTGATACACAAGTCATCCTAAGAGAGATAGTTTCAAATATATTGAGTCTATACTACAGAGTAACAAGAAGATTCACGAGGATGCCGCACATTGTATAGGAGCGGGGTGGTTGAGATGAAGGCTCGCTTCTGGTATTTTGTGTGACAGAAATGGGCCACGTAGTTAGACCGGCCATGTAATATAGAGCCGAGTGTTGGCCAATCAAGAAATCTCATGCCTAGAAGATGAAAGTAGCATAAATGAGGATATTGAGATGGCTGTGTGGGCATACTAGAAAAGACAACATTAGGAATGAATATATTAGGGACAAAGTGGGTGTAGCACCTATGGAAGATAAGTTGTGGGAATCGAGGCTGATATGGTTCAGACATGTGAAGATGAGAGACTCTGATGCCTCCGTTAGGAGGTGCGAGAGGTTGAGAGGAGGGGTAGAGTGAAGCCTAAGAAGAACTGGGTGAGCTAATCAGGCAGGACATGGCTCTGCTCCAATTTACCGAGGACGTGACACTCAATAGAAAGGTGTGAAGGTTGAAAATTAGGGTGGTGGGTAAATAGACAATTTAGAATTTCACCTTGTCTTACCAATAGTAGTACTAGTCAGCCATCCTAGTCCCTTGTTTTTATACGGTGTGTCATTATTTTTAGTAGGATTGGCACTTTTCTAATAGTTTCATATCCCTGGATCTCTATTATTATTCGTTGTATTAGTTGTTTCTATTGTCTTATTAACTTGTTGTTGCTATTGTTTCTCTATTGCTTCATTTTTACTATTCTTAAGCCGAATTTCATTCGGAAACAACTTCTCTACCTTTATAAGGCAAGGTTAGGTCTGCATACACATTATCCTCTCCAAACCCCCACTTGTGAGATTTCACTGGGTTTGTTGTTATTGTTGTAACAATTTAACCTCAGTAGTTAAAAGCTAAAATGAAGTTTTATCATAGTTAACGCTAAAAAGGTTACAAAATAAGCTAGTATAACAAAAAAAATCAGTACATACACACAAGAATGCCTGTATATATATTTTAATATTTCTCTTTTCATACTAATCAAGTCGTTTAACAAAGACGTGCAGTGCATGTATTGTTCCTTAGTCGAATCAAAACTAGATTATTAGCCTGTTCAGCCAAACTTTTGAAAGGTCAGGTAGTCTTGATTAATGACTAATATTTGTTGAAAATTCTTGTATAATCCGTCAAATTAACTCTACAAACATGTCGCAATCACCAAGGTTTTACATTCGTCTTTACCCATTTTAAGCAACTAATATAACAGCGTACAAATTAGCAAATCAGACTTGGTTTTCCGCTATTTTGACTTTGCTCTTTATTCAGAAATCAAAATCATGGTGACAACATAATTAGAGTATAGTTCAGAAGGAAATAATACAGTAATTTGATTCCATTTGCACGGAACTAAGTTACCAGCTAGTGGGCTCAGCAGGTTAACAAACTCAAGGTTCCAACTTCCAAGAAAAATCTCAAAACTACTCTCAGACAAGTACCTTCATTCTAATGGCAATTTCCATTTCAAAATCATATTTTTCTCATAGTTAAGTTCTGCTCAAAAAGAAAGTAATAAAGGATCAAGTCGAGGAGTCATTGCAGCTCACTGAGTTCAAGAAAAACCTTTATTTAACCAATCCAACAGTAGAAAGATGCGAATTAGCAACTGAAAGAAGCAATCTGACCATAAATCATGCGGATTGGACGACCAAATGTAGATCTAAAACCAGTGCATTTAACCTGGGAAAGTTTTTAGCAACAAGCTATAAAAATAAAGAGAATTTATCAGTAGCCTACAGAAGAAGGCTACCTTTAACCATATGGATGATGGAAAACTTTAGATTAAGGCAAAAAGGTCCTCAACACCAGACCATTTTCGTATAAGAATTACCTTACCCATACAGAGCAAGTGAAGATGGGTCGACAAAGAAAGGGATATAAGAGCTCCAGACGTTGCAAATTGAGGTAGAAGGGGTTTTCGAGCAATAAAAGCTAATATGTACTTTTGCACCAAAATTTACTCCAAGACCGCATGGTCGTTTGATCAAAACGCTAGAAACACTTCCAAGTAAGTCACCAATTATTTGCAGTTTCTTCAATACTTCTCTTAAAAGCCTCGGTTGTCACCCCCGTAATCAAAAGACTTATCTTCTTGATACCCGGAGGAGGGGNAAGTTCCCAAACCAAACTTAAATCAGTTCACGCTTTGGCACTATAAAAAATTGAGTTATCAAATAAACAAGCAATAGGAAAGTAGAAACCAAACAGAATCACACCATGCATGTACCTTTTTTAAAACAAGAAACAAACTATCCCACATTGCCTTCATCTTTCATTCTGTACTCCCTCTCAAAACACAAGTCTAAGAACCTATTTTTCTTTAACACAACTAGAGAAGAGTAAAAACATCATTCTCGTTTACCTCTAGCACATAACAAGGAAATTCAACTACATCAAAGAAGTAAAATCCACATTGTTTCACAAATTCAACTCTCCACATTTCTAAAGAATTCACCAAAACCAATTCCATCAATTTAACAATACTAGTTACACTACCCAGCTCAAATTTTCCCCTAAAATTCAAAACAATATTCAATCATGAAAGTTCAAACAATAGTATATTCCCCTCTGGGACTTTCCGAAAGCAAAGCACCATAAGGTGAATCTTCCTGATCTTCCGGAGCCCTAAGTGCACCATGAACACACAGAATCACAATCCCAAAGCCAATTGAAACGAAAACATTCGTCCAAATCTTAGCAACCAGAAGCGCAACGACAGTCACCAAACTTAGAAACCCTAACACGAACCTATCATCAACATCGAAGCCAAAAAGCTCCAACGGCTCATTACGGGAGAAGTAGAGATAAATCCAACCGGCGAAGATGATTAGGAACAACACGAGTAAAATTGGCCGGATAATTAGGGTGATTAATAGGATAAAGAGGATGATTAGTACGTAATTACCGGCGAAATAACGGAGGTTTTTGTTGATCCGATATGTTGCGTCGGAGAATGAGATTGGGAGGCTGAGGGCAGCGGTATCGATGAATAACGGCCACGGTCGAACGGTGACGGCGGCAATTGTTCCAGCGTCCGGCGGAGGAGAAGACATTCGGAAGTTTGATCTTCTTCTTTTTTTCGGGTCGGAAAATTCGAAGCTGATTCGATAAATGAGGAATATAAGGTGAAGTAATTGGATTTATAGGTGGAAGGGTGGAACTAAGATTTATAGTTTTTCTACTGCCTTTCGGTTGTACCCAAATATATTGCTAAATATAAATTTGACCCAAACTTTCATTTGCTTCATACCCCTTTTGCTCCTATATAGTTTAATGAGTATTCGAGTCAGGTTGCGTGCATCTCAACTAATTTCATCGGTACTTATTTTACGGTATACTTACTACCTTCCACTAGTAGATGTCCCGAATAACTCTGTCCCCCAAAACTTTGACAAATAGAAAGAGATCACCTAGCATTTTTGTCTTTGCGGGAATTCAAACCCCGAAACCTCGTAATTTTCGACCCACTTCACTGACCATTATGTCATACGCTTGAGGATAATGTGTTCGCTATTATAGTGTACTCTACGAGGGTGATAAGATACATTTGTTCAAGGATTACATTTCTCGTGAGACTATTTTGATTAAATCATTAAGTGTATCCTCTATCATTATATGACTACTAAGTTTAATGTTAGAACAGTAACCACAATTTTGAAAGCCCCCTCAAAATCAAAGTACTTTATCCACTCATTTGCTATATTTCAACTCTTTACGATGACATTGAACAACTTGGTTAGTCATAAATTACTTTAGATCGCTCACAATAATTTTACCGTGAGACAGCACCTCGACAGGGGCGGATCTAGCTTATTACATGTGGGTTCCGTGAACCCAATAGTTTTTTCACATACTCTATATATATTTAAAAATTAATTAAATATCAATACTCATTGTATATTTACTTAAGGTCGCATTAGGAACCCATAAACAATAAATCCCGGATCCGCCTTTGCACAATTATTACATGTGGGTTCGCGTGAACCCAACAACTTTTTCAAATCCCCTATATATATATATTAAAAAAACATTAAATATCAATAAATATTTGGTTGTGAACCTAGTTACTTATTGTATATTTAAGTAAGGTTGCTATAGGAACCCATAAACTTTAAATCCTGAATTCGCCTGTATGAGCAAGAGTCACTACTTCCAATTATTTTGAACCAGAACATGGTGAAGTGACAAAGATAGCACCTGAAAAATTGAATATTATGAAGAACAGTTTTCATAAGCTACAAGAAGCAGAACATGGGAGCTGAATGCATCTTTTGAATCAATCAGTTTTCGTAACAATATCTAGCTTTCTGCAGTTCCATAGATGATGCTTCATCTTGCCTATAATTTGATCAATATAGTAGCAACCCACTGAACTACTAAAGAATATAAGGAGAAAAACAAACCAGCAATACAAAATAGAGAGCGACAGAGAGAGAGGAGGAGGAGGAGGCCGGAGGGTGACAGCACTGTACACTGTGCAAAATGTCAACAGCAGCGACGGTAACAAAAAAGAAAACATATACAATATGTGCTCAGGATTCTCCAAACATTTTCTCCTGGATGATTTGCCCAAGTTTCGAATACAGATCTCGCTGCTCATCAAAGCTCAGGTTCATTATTATCTGTATTATATAGAGCAAGTATATCAGCTCCAACAGAAATACTTCAACAAGAAATTACATGGAATTCATGTCACTTGAGCCACGTACCTGATCCAAGACCATCTCAATTGACAAGTTCTGAGGCGCCACAAAAGACTGATGATAGATATATGCAAAAACAGCCATCACCATCTGCGTGAACGTACACATAAGAAATATATCACAAACTGATAGTTTGGATTACAACTAGAAAGCACTACTAACAGGCCAGAGTAGGAGAAGTGAAGGAGAAATCTATCGGTCTATGGAAATACTGATCCTACTAACAAGGTATAGAAAGCGACAGTTCATTTAGTTCACCTGACAATCCATTCTATCTGTGATGCCACCATGTCCAGGTATACTATCACCAAAATCCTACAGCACCAAGAGAGAGAGAAGATGATTGCAACATAATAGCAACGATCCCACTAGGGTAACTAAAAAAACAAGACGAAGTAATAACATTGAACCTTAATCTTGAAGGCTCTCTTAAAGCCGCTAGCAAAAAAGCCTCCAAACGGCGCTATGATTGATGCAAACAAGCCAAGCCACAAGGCATGCCATTGCACAGGCAAAACAGAGATCTCTCTCCAAGGAAACTGCGCCAGTAAGAATTAGTGAAGGGTTATGCCAATGCTGGATCAACTAAAAAAGGATTTGAATTGACTTCAGAAAGCTTAATAATAACACAAGCATAACGAAGAAGAGGCAAATAACAGGAAATCTTTTTTTTTTCAAAAAGATGAATTGCCGGATAATCTCATGTCGAGTGTGTAGGACAATCAAAATGAACCATACAACGCCTCTCCAAAAATTACTACTATTTCAAGGCTCAACATTTTAAGATTTTTTTTTTGAGATGGTAACATACCCTTGTGGTCCAGTCCTTCCCCAGACCCCGCGCATAAAGGGAGCTTAGTGCACCGGGCTGCCTTTTTTTTTTTTTTGAGATGGTAACATAAAATCTTAAGAAATTTCAAATCATTCAGAGCATTTGGTTCACATAAAACTAATCTACAGGCTCTGTCATAATATTTTATTAAAAGTTAATATTATAATATTAATTATCACACACCAACATCATGCTAATTACGCTAAATGATAATGTGTACCCACATTAATATTCAAAGTATGTTCAAAAAATTTGACCACCAGTGAGGATGTTCATTGTGGTCAAAATCGTCTAAACAAGTTTTTGCTTCTAAAAATATGACACATGTTTAGTATTCATTCATATACTTCATAGAATTTTTTAAGTTAACAATGTGCACACCACCAACCTTGTTTCAAGCCCTGAACTGATAAAAATTTTAGATCGCAACCTATGTTGCGCGGACTCTCCAAAATGATGCCGCACCCGTGTCGGATCCTCCAAAAATACACTATTTTTGGAGGATCCGGCACGCACCCAGTAACATTTCCGGAGAGTCCGAGCAACATAGATCGCAACCTCTTCTGGTTTTTCTTGTAGCCTCTTATATTTTATTTTTTCAACGTTACAAGCTTTTAGATTATTAGATGATTAAAAGTAAAGGTCTCCAAAATAATTATCCATCTGCAACACTCTATCAACAAAATGAACTATCTGCAATGCACCACTCACATTTTTCTCCTTTCCTTTTTTTTTTTTTTTTTTTTGTTGCACCAACCAAATTTTACTAAAGCTAGTTTGCCTCCAATAAATTCACATTTAATTAGCATTCATTTTGATACTCCTATTTTTGATTCTACAGTTTGCCAATAGTAGTAGTTTTATGATCTTCCAGACATTTAGTTGGTTTAGCATACTCTTCCAGAGGAAGGAGTAGCAGTTAAAAAAAGTAATCCATTATTCATATGCTCTTCAATACTTTTATGATGTCTTATTATTCAAACTAAATCATTGGATCAATTTCTATAATAAAAGATTCAACAAGGTGGTGAGAACAGCCATGGTTCTCAACCGATGGTGAAGGGTGATGTCGTGCCATGTTATGAGAGTGTAAAGCATGAAGGGTGATGCCGTGCCATTTTATGAGATTGTAAAGCACAAAGGATGATGCCGTGCCATGTTATGAGAGTGTAAAGCATGAAGGGTGATGTCGTGTCATGTTATGTGAGTGTAAAGCACGAAGGGTGATGTCGTGCCATATCATTTGAAAGTAAAAGCACGAAGGGTGATGTCGTGCCATGTTATGCAAGTGTAAAGCACGAAGGGTGATGCCGTGCCATTTCATTTATATTATCATGCTTTTATATTATCATGAGTTCATGGCACGATGGGTGTTTCCGTGCAGGCGAGGACGAGGGACATGCATTATATTGTGATATCTATTCCTTGTGTATACGTTCATGCCTTTACATTGAGTTGTTATTGTCGTACTTATGGTTCTTATGTGACTTGTCGTTATTGCCCTGTCCTTGTCCTCTATCTTAATTGTTATTGTGTTGCTCAAGCTTTCTACTTGCTAAACTTGCAAACACCATGCCTACTTCCTGCTATTATAATTACATCCATGTCTTTTCTATTTTGTTGCACTTTAGTACAAGTCTTCTACCATGTTAGTCATTCATGCCCCTACTTATTAACTTATAAAGATCATGTGTTCCCTTTTTATTTGTTATATCTATATCTAGGCCTTCCACCATGCTAGTTAGTTGAAGTTTATATTCCTTTTTCCTAATTGCTGTCATTACTCCTATGCCTTCCGCTTAGTCTATTACTGTTTGCCCATATGTATATCCTCGTTCATTGTTGCTACTTGCGTATTTCCTACTTTGTCATTATTGTTATCGGCATTTTTGCCATCCGTTTGATATTGTTATACGCATATTTGGTGATGATGAGATAAATGCACGAAGGGTGTTGTCGTGTCATTGACTTGATATCTGAGTACATTCCTCACGCTATGAAAGTTATGGAGTGACTATCGTGGTTTATTGGTTTTCGCTCTAAGGAAAAGATTGGTCGAGATATTGGAAAATGATAAATTGTGATCTATTTTAGTACTCAGTTATTGCTTTGCATATTCGTTTCGTGTACTCTTTTCTGTTATATCGTAGTAATGTTCTATTGCTAGTTTACGGTACAGGTTTTATCAGTAAGTATCTTTTAACTAAAAAGCCTCATCACTACTTCGACGAGGTTAGACAAGATACTTACTGGGTACATGGGATCGGTTGTACTCATACTACACTTCTGCACCTTGCGTGCAGAAGTGTAAAGTGGAGTTGTTGGTGATGTCGGGAGCCGACTCTGAAGATGTTCGTGCGTTCCGGAACATAGCTGCCACTTGTCCTTGGTAGCTTAAGATTTTGCTAAACTGTTTATGTAACTTTCAAACAGATCGTGTATTTATTTGTACCAGCTTTGTAAATTTCAAATTCTTAGAAGCTCATGATTCGTACTACCAGTCCTTGGGTTAATATGTAAATTTTCACATAATTCTTCACTGTTTTCCTATAATTCTCATTTGGATTATATTGACTGTTAGTTGGCTTACCTAGCTGGTCGAGTT